AGTACCATCTCACTTTGTGTAGAAAATGACCAGATCATTCATATTTGTAACTGCCAGTCAGAAAAGGAGATGTGGGAAGTTCTACAAAAGGTTCATGAACGGGCAAATCTCAGTAATAAGTTGTATTTACTTCGTAAGCTTTATCAGGCCAGATTAGAAAGTGGACAAACAATGTCCGAATATATAAGACAAACTCTCGAAATGGTAGAACTACTGAGGGGAATAGGTGAAAATATTGAAGATTTTCATGTTGCTGCACTACTTCTTGGAGGTCTTCCCAAGAACTATGATACACTTGTAACGGCCTTGGATGCTCGTCCTGATAATGAATTGACTCTTGAATATGTCAAAGGAAAACTGATGGATGAATTTAATAGAAAAACTGAAGGTGATTCTGAAGCAGCATTAAAAGTATATAACAATGAAAATAGAAGGCCGTTCTGTACAATGGAATGTTTCTTCTGTAAGAAAAAGGGACACGTTAAAAGAAATTGCTATTTCTGGAAGAAAACTCAGCAAGAAGGTGGAGAAAGTAATCAAAATAGTGATAGGAAAGAATATAAAGCTAAAACTGCAGTAGAAGATAATAATGAAGATTATTGCTTTTGTGTTTATCCCAAAGACGATTATGAAGGTACAGAGTGGTTCATAGATTCGGGCGCATCGAGCCATATGACGGCGAATAGAAACTTCTTTACACATCTGCAGAATTACAGTGATAAAGTGACTGTCGCAAATGGCAATGAAATGATATGTGCTGGAATAGGGGAAGGACTATTGAATTGTCAAGTATCAGACAAAATAGTATCAGTTCCAGTTAAGAATGTATTGTATGTTCCTGATCTTCGATCAAGTTTATTATCGGTGAAACGTTTGACTGAAAAAGGTTTCAATGTCACTTTCGAATCAAATCACTGTCATGTAAAAATGAATGACAATATTGTCGCTATTGGAACTATTGAGAAGGGAATCTATAAGTTAGCAATAGATTCTAGAAATCAGGCACATATGTATTCTGATAAATGTACCGAATGTATTCATTTATGGCACAAAAGGATGGGTCACAGAAATCCAGCAGATATCAAGAGACTCTTTGCAGAAAACTTAGTTTCTGGAAGTATATTAGAGAATTGTGAGGAAACTTTGCAATGCATCAGTTGTGTGAAGGGGAAATTAGCCAAAAAGCCATTTTCTAAACTTTGTGGCGATAAATCGAGCAAATGTCTTGACTTGATCCATTCAGACGTATGTGGCCCAATTAGGACAGAAACTCCAGGAAAGAAACGATATTACTTGACTTTTATCGATGATTTTTCGCGATATACAATTAATTGTATATTTGTTGAACACTAAAGATGAAGTATCAGAAAAACTGGAAGATTTTATAGTATTTGTGAAAAATAAATTTGAAAGAAAGCCCAAGTCGATCAGATTTGACAATGGCGGCGAATTTTGTAATAAAATTGTTCAGGATATTTTACGGAAATATGGGATAGCATACCAAACGACAGTACCGTACTCACCGCAGCAGAATGGTATTGCTGAACGCAAAAATAGAACCCTCTGTGAATCAGCAAGATGTATGTTGCTTGACGCTCAATTACCAAATACTTACTGGGGAGAAGCGATTGTTACAGCCAATTATTTACAAAACCGTCTTCCTTGTAAATCTATTAAAACAACTCCTTATGAAGTATGGCATGGAGCCAAGCCTAAAATTGATCATTTGGGAAGTTTTGAAAGTACTGCTTATGCCTATGTTCCAAAAGAAAAACGTACTAATGGGATTCCCGGGCCAAAGAAGGAATTTTGGTGGGATACTCTGAAAACTCAAGTGGATACAGAATTTTGGATAGATCCACAAATAAGGTTGTAAAAAGTAGAACTGTTGAATTCATCGAAAATGGACATTCTACGAATTATAGGACTAAACAGTCTGATGATAGCAATACGAACATACATAAGAATACAGAGATTGTACTTGGAAGAATTAAAACAGATCATAGAATTGATGAACTAGCTGGAGATATGAGATTGGAGGAGACAAGGACAGAAGACCAACAAATGGAAGAATATGAAATTGAAGATGACCATATACATGAAATACTAGAAGAGGATGAGACAGTTTGAAGATCATCAAGAAAGAACAAAGGAGTGCCCCCAGAAAAGTTTTCATATGTAACTTCTACTGAATTTCATAGAGAACCTGAATCATGGAGTGATATGATTAAATTTCCGGAAAATGAGAAACAAAAATGGTTGAAAGCTGCTGATGATGAATTAGAATCATTCAAGCAGAAACAGGTCTGGACACTAACAAATCTTCCTACAGGAAAGAAACCTATCGATTCGAAATGGGTTTTCAAGTTAAAAACCAATTCTGATGGCAGCATTGCTAAATATAAAGCAAGACTGGTTGCTAAAGGCTATACTCAGAAATATGGAGAAGATTATGATGCCACTTTTGCACCAGTAATGAAGCAAAGTACCTTTCGGATTTCATTGACAATTGCAGCTGTTAACAAGCTTTATGTTAGACATTATGATGTTAAAACTGCCTTTTTGAATGGGATTCTGAATGAAGAAATCTATATGTCCCAACCAGATGGATATGTCGAAGAAAATAAGTCTTATCTTGTATACAAACTCCATAAATCTGTTTATGGTTTAAAACAAGCTGCAAGAGCTTGGAATGAAGTTCTGAAAAAGGTTGTTGAAGAACATGGGTTTCATCAAAGCGAAAATGACCAATGTTTGTTTATCAGCAGAAGAGATGAAGATCCAATGTATCTACTAATTTATGTTGATGACTTACTTATCTGTCACAAAAATGAAATGGCAATCAAGATGTTTGGGAGTGAGCTGAACAAACATTTCGAGATTGAAGATTTAGGCGATGTAACCTACTTCTTAGGAATCAGAATTCAACAAATCAAGAAGGAAGTTTTCTTCTGGATCAGGAGAAGAAAATTATCGATCTCATTTCAGAATTTGGATTAGACTGTGCAGCACCTTCATTAATTCCAATGGATACTGAATATCCAAAACTCACTGAGAATCATAAGCTGCTACCAAATAATGACAAATATAGAAAATCAGTGGGGGCTTTACTGTACTTATCTACCACGACAAGGTCAACTATTTGACAAGAAAAGTAAGTCAGCCAAGACAAATAGATTGGGATGCTGTTAAGAAATTGATAAAATATTTGAAGGGTACCAGCAGATTCAAGCTGAAGCTGAAATCAGATAAGGAGCTGATCTTAAACGGATTCGTAGACTCGGATTGGGCTGGTGATATTTCAGATCGAAAGTCAACAAGCGGGTTCATATTATTTCTAGGAGAAAATGCAATATCGTGGACCAGCAGAAAACAAACTTCTGTAGCCTTATCATCGACAGAAGCAGAATATATATCTGCTTCTTTAGCTGGTCAAGATGTAGTTTGGACCCGGAGAATTCTTGACGAATATGGAATCAAGTGTGATAAACCAACTTGTTTGTATGAAGATAATCAAGGTTGTATCAAACTGGCCACAAATGAAAAGATGCTAGAACTAAGCATATAGATGTAAAGTACCATCATTTACGTGATTTGATCAGAAATTATGTAATTGATTTCATTTATTGCCAAACACAAGATATGATAGCTGATGGCCTAACGAAATGCTTACCCAAGGACAAGTTTGTGAAGTTTAGAACTTCAATAGGAATTGTGGAGGAATGATCTGTCGAGTGGGGGTGTTGGAGATATTCGCCAGATTATTCAACATACTATATATGAACATCAAGTTTTTTTTTTTTGACAGTTTCTGATTATTATATAAAACGTCTTGTTCAATCATTACAGTTTAATTGTAAAGCTGCCTGTTTCACTGAGTTAAACCCAACAACTGTAGCTCTGTGCTTCTAATGGTACAAGGCGTCCGGCATCTGGCTAGTCGCTAACACATATTTCTCTGTAGATTCTTACAATCACTCGACATGTGAACCCCAAGACGAAACCTACGTTTCAAATTTAATCTGAATATCTCGAAAACTAAAAGAGGTATAAAGAGAAACTGATAAAAATCTTAAAATTTTAACACTCTGTTGATCCGTAACAAAGCGTTTGCAGGTACAGGGCGTCCGGCATCTGGCTAGTCGCTAACACATATTTCTCTGTAGATTCTTACAATCACTCGACATGTGAACCCCAAGACGAAACCTACGTTTCAAATTTAATCTGAATATCTCGAAAACTAAAAGAGGTATAAAGAGAAACACACTCTGTTGATCCGTAACAAAGCGTTTGCGGACACATGTTTATACTGTTTATAGGAATAAAATGTATTTATTTGATCTAAAAAATAAGCACCTGAAATGTTGATACTGAGTTTTCAAACACGATAAGAAGTCTGTAGATTAAGATAATGTCTGGGGAGGGTTAATGTGAGAATAGTTATTATGAGATCCTGTGTGAGGGTAGTGTCGCCAATGAATTACTATAATAATGATAATAAAACTAATGATGATAACTAATGAACTTTATTGAGTACGAATACAAATTATAGCTATTCATATAACTTTTGCTAAATGAACTTGTTTTTTGTACTATTTGAACATTTGCACAATGAGCCTGATAAAGTGAAAAATGTTATCTCATTGTTTTGAAGAACTAACCCATACTTGATATTCACGATGTTTCATAACATGAGGAACGCGGGAGAACGCGTGACGATATTCGATACGATTTATGTATTGTCAGAACACTCCTACTGTGGAATGTGAAAATATTTGTATTGTTTGTTGAGCAATAAGACAGTGATGGTCCTTAACGGTATATCACGTCATCAAGCGTTTTTGAGAAGTGATTATTTTCATTATTGAAAAAAGTTATTTGTGGCGATTTCAAATAATGAACGATAATCAAATACATAATTAATACATAAAATGGCCAAAATAAAACGGATATATGTCGTAAATCCGTATAAAAATATTTGTCATCATTTGTTTTTTTAGGATTCTGTATCATCTGCAGATATTGCAATATGGAGTGTACTGTATCCTTTAACTACATGTACTAAAACTACCACTGAATACCTTAAACACCTCTCGAAACTATCAGAGTGGATTGCGAATTTAGAAAGAAATACAACTTTCAAAGTTAGTAACATTTGCAATATTTTTAGACATTCAATCACAGATATTACTCTTTTCAGGAAGCATTAGCTACCTTTAAAATTGATAGCACTTCATATAGTGCCTTACTAGCAGGCGCTAAATACCTTGTACCTTCAGAATTCAATGATGCCCCTAAAACTGAAAATAAGAATCTTCAAAACAAGGAAAATGAATCACCACAACATAACTCTGAAGCAGCAACAAAGGAAGAAATACAAGCAGCCGAGGAGGCATGGAAAAAAAGTGTTTCAAATAAACTAAAACCAGATAGCAAATGTGTGTAAGTTACAGTGAATTTATTCATTTTTTGATGGTGCCATTTGATAGTATACCTTGAGCACTTAGGGTTTGGATTATATGGAGAGTTTGCTTTCGGCAAAGTCAAGCAGTGGAAGTATAATGACTTTTACAATGTTTTCGCACGTTCAATAGTACTTAGTTACATGATGTTATGTGTTGAAAATATGAATTTCTCATAACTTATTTTTTTCTGTGATTTATTGTTTACATTATTTTTCATCCAACACCTCATTTTATTTATCGCTTTAATAACAGGAACACCTAATATGAGAATAGCTATTTGATGAGCTGCAATAATTTCAATCACACCCATATCACTGTTTCAGTTTGCCAGTGCCAGGAGAGCGAAATGTACTGATCACATCAGCTTTACCTTATGTCAATAATGTGCCCCATTTGGGTAACATAATTGGATGTGTGTTGTCAGCAGATGTGTTTGCTAGATATTCTCGCTTATGCAACAATAATACATTATACATATGCGGGACAGATGAGTATGGTACCGCTACCGAAACTAAGGCACTTGAGGAAGGTCTCTCATGCAAGGAGATTTGTGACAAATATCATAAAATCCATGATGAAATCTACAAATGGTTCAATATTAGCTTTGATCACTTCGGAAGAACATCAGAACCTGAACAAACAAAGTAGGTACCTAATTCAGAACATTTTCTATGATTTATTAATCAACTGTTTATTATAGCTTGTGTCAGGAAATGTTCCTCACACTTAATAGCAATGGTTTCACATTCACAGAATCAGTTGATCAGTTACATTGTGAGAAATGCAACAAATTTTTAGCTGATAGATTTGTTGAAGGTGGCTGTCCTAATATCGGATGTACCTACGAAGATGCTAGAGGTGACCAATGTGATGGGTGTGGCAAATTAGTCAATGCCATAGAACTCAAGAATCCCAGGTGTAAAATCTGTGGACACACACCTAAAATGAAGTCTTCTAACCAGTTTTTCATCGATTTACCGAAGGTATGAGTGATTTCTAGTCAAGATACAGTAGATTGAGGAGTAGTTATTTTTCAAAATATTTTCTCGGTCCAATGCATAGAAACTGGTTTGAGAGGTTCTTGCAAAATATATTTTCAAAATAATATCAATATCATCCATTGCAGATCTCCATTCATAACCAATGATTTGAATTTGGTAATTTTAGAATCCTATCGTGACTACTGTGGCTCCTGTGGTCTCGATGGATATTTATAAAAATTATCAGCTGTTCAATGAATATGTCTAAGGCAATAGTCCTAGATTCTCCGTGTTTCTTTAGGGTTGTATTCCGGATATGTGATACTTATTCTAATCTAGAAGATCGCCTGTTGACTGCCTTGTCAAAAGCCATTGTTGTCATTCATCAATATGGATCATTGTTTTATTGAAAAAACATCTATAGCATTTTCACCTAGATATCTGTCACCCTGTTCATTTCTGATATAAAGTGTTAATCGAATTTATTCCATCATTTAGTTGTTCCTTCTATAAGGTTGCCTAGTAGTGGTTTCCAGTAGAACAACAATTTCAATGCTTTTTTATATGTTTATGTGGGTGCTGAATCCGTATCTGAAGTTTGCAAACAATATTTACTGGAGCTTTCCGAGATATTCGCAAAAAAACAACAAAATTTTCCAGTTTTCTGTCCATAACTATAATAATAATAATAATATCATTTATTAACAAGAGAATAAATAAATTCATAAATAGAACAAATGGAAGTCAATAAATGATCTAGGTACTCGATAAGTGACCAAACACTTGTTTCGAGAAATTAGAAGGTATATAATAAAAATATGAACAACAGCACTCACTAATACAATAAAATTATAAAGTTAAGATAATTTTTGAGTATGACAATTGATAAAACACAGCTATTATAAAAAACATGTAATATAAAACTAAACTAATAGGATATCCCTGACTTGACTATTTTTCGAAGTTAATATAATAAATGATGATATAAAATTGTGAATAACTATAAATATAAGATTAAAATGAAAATAGATAAGTATTCAGAAACAAAGAGTGGGAGAATAAATGTTTGAATGTTTAAAATAATTATTTTTCAATTAATTCACTGAATTTAAATCTTGATGTTTCATGAACAAAAACTATACATTTCATCGAGAATACCTACCTATTGAAAATGGAAGAAGATTAAATTCTATATATATACATATAATTGTTCTTGCTCATGAATGTAGGACTGACGGGTGAGGAGCTAGAGCAAGTTAAAAATTGACCAAATTTGCGTACTTTGCGAAAAATAGCATTCTTCGTCGGTTTTCGCAGATAATTCATATTCTACGTATTTCTTGAAATAATGCATTATGCAAATATTGAAAAAGCTTCTAATTTCCGAAAGAGCATATACAGGCTGATTTTAAAATGAGTGCATATATTCAAGACATATATATGAGAGAGTCTAACAAAAATTACTAAAATATTTGATTTTTCCTAAGTCTTCACATTAACGAGAAATTTCGTTTTGAAAATTGAACATAAAATGCTTCGAAATTCGAGTACGCCACTGGGAAGCAAGTGAAATTGCGGAATCCCAGGAAATCCCCAATTCGTCATTCACTAACGTCAAAACAAGACAGTGATGCCAGATTGTTTCAGAGACGAATATCCTGATAAAAAATTGTCACAGAATGAATATGAATTGGAATACGTTATGGAAACTAATAGAGGTGAATGTGATATGTACAGTGTGTCCAGTTTTCGATGCTTTTGTGTGATATCTCAGTTATCTTTCGAGATAGAACCTTGCGGTTTTCGCGGTCCTGTACCACTTTTCTGTGAAACTCAAGATGGCCTAATCAGATTTTGCATAACTGTTTGCGTTTATAAGATACAGGGCGATTTTGAAAATTTATACTTTTTGGACCCCCTCTATATCTACGAAGTTTCTCAGCGAAAATGTTACATTGGAATCTTATCCCATACAGAATTTTGCGCAGAATTCAGTGGCGCACTCAATTTTTTTTTTCTGGGTATGGTTTCGGAGATACGACTCAAACTTATGATTTTTCAAATGGAACACCCTGTATTTTATAAGCTCATTAAATTCCTTATTTTTTCCCCATCAAAATGAAATATGATGAATATGTATAAAATTTCCAAAAATGCTCCAAAATCACTAAAACATTGAATTTTAATAGTGGGCTATGGATTTTTCATTCAAAAAAAGTTCCAATTGAAGAATATTTCAATTGATTCTTTCATGAAAAGGACAAAAACAATCCCAACACTAGTTAATTAAGATAACACAAAAATTAGTTACTTGATAGCAACAAATGAATGGTAATAAAAAGTTCATATTCTAGAATAGGCACCTGATTTAATATCCACTAAGACAATTGAATTTCGAAATTAATCAGTAACTTATTCATTGAATTGTTCAAATTGATATTCACTTTCCCTCACATGCTTTCTCAATACGTCTTAATGCATTCAAAATCATTAAAGGATGTCTTTGTAATTCCTGGAAAACTGCATCTGTTGTTGCACGAAGTTCTTCAAGATATTTGTGACTCTTACTGTATCAAGACGTATTGAGAAAATATGTCAATTGTGTGTTATGGAAAATGGACATCAATTTGAACAATTCAGTGAATAAGTTATTGAATAATTCCGAAATTCAATTGTATTTGTAAATATTCAATCTGGTGCTTATTCTACATTATGAAATTTTTATTACTATTTATTTATTGCTATCAGGTACATAATTTTTGTGTTTTCTTAGTTAATTAGTGTTGGTATTGTTTTTGTCCTCTTTATGGAAAAATCAAAATGAATATTTCTTCAATTGAAACTTTTTTATAAGAAAAATCCATAGCCCACAATTAAAATTCAATGTTTCAGTGATTTCAGAGCATTTTTGAAAATTTCATATACATACATTATGAATCATTTTAAAGAGAAAAAAATAAGAAATTTTATGAGCTTATAAAATACAGGGTGGTCCATTTAAAAAAACATAAGTTTGAGTCGTATCTCCAAAACCTTACCCCGAAAAAAAAAATTGAGTGCGCTACTGGATTCTGCGTAAACTTTCATATGGGATGAGATTTGAATTCGACATTTTTGCTGAGAAACTTCGTAGATATAGAGGGGGTCCAAAAAGTATAAATTTTCAAAATCGCCCTGTATCTCATAAACGGAAACAGTTATGCAAAATCTGATTAGGCCATCTTGAGTTTCACAAAAAAGTGGCAAACGATCGCGGAACCCGCAAGGTTCTATCTCGAGAGATAACTGAGATATCACAGAAAAGCATCGAAAACTGGACACACTGTACAGGAGCCTTATTTTTTAAAGTTCACTGAGAGAACTGTGTGGTGATTATCTCCATGGATCACGAGAGACGGAGAGAAACATGAGGGGAATGATAGAACGTCCTTCTTCCTTCAATTCGAAAATAAGGCCCCAGCGGGTAGATACAAAATTAGCAGACAATAAATAGGTACAGGGTGATTCACCATAAATGTCCCCCCCTCTAGCTCACTTATTTTTGAACAGTTTTAAAAATTTGAAAGATAATCTAAAATGATTTTTCAGAAAATTTTTTCCCGTTGCATCAGAAAATACAGGGTGCTCGGAACAAACGATCTACAGAGTACTAATTGTTTTTTTTAAATGGAACACCCTGTATCTTATTGTATTTTTAGATTCTTCCTGAAGAGCTGATTTCATCAATGCAATTGGGGTTTAGCGGGAATGATTACAGAGATATAGGGTGTTTAAAATCGAGGTTTTCCAACTTTAGGATTTTTTTGTGCCGAAACTATTCATTATTGGTCAAAACGGCTTCTATGTTCCCATCTCAACTTTTGATTTACTATCTAGTGAAATTTAATTGGAACATTTACAGGGTGGTTCAAGATTCCGAATTCTGGTCACCTTGTATCTGTTCCAATTATTAAATGTCAGTAGATAGTAAATCAAAAGTTAAGATACGGCCATGAAAACCGCGTGACCGATAATGAATAGTTTCGTCACAAAAAAACCCTAAAGTTAAAAATCTCGATTTTGTACACCCTATATCTCTGTAATCAGTCCCACTAGACCCCAAGTGTGATACAATGATCAAATCAGCTCTTCAGGGAGAATCTAAAAATACGAAGAAAAATAGGGTGTTTCATTTGAAAAAATCAAATAGTACCCTGTAGATCGTTTGTTCCGAGCACCCTGTATTTTCTGATCTAGCGGAAAAAAACTTTATCGGAAATCATTCGAAATTATATTTCAAATTTTAAAATCGGTTCAAAAATAACTGAGCTAGAGGGGGGGACATTTATGGTGAATCACCCTGTACACAACATACACAAAGTTGAAAATCGACTCACCTAGTAGATTTTCTCATACCTGCTCGAACAGCAAAACTCCCGAGAGCAAACAAATACTAATATCGAGTCCATTCCAGACTAATATCGTCCTGTGTTCTTGTTGGTTCATATTCGCACTTGAACCATCGAAAACGACTCGACGACGACATATCCTTCCTGGCAATCTCACATTGAAAATCACGATCACGACCATATCCCGATTATCACGAAACAAGACACAACATCCAATTATTTTATTTTTTATTTTACGTTTACAATTATTTTACAAACCAGCAACCACACAAACAAAACTATAATCATATGATCTGTCAACATCATTTCTCAGAACAGTAGTATCTGTGACCATAGATTTCCTCTTTGCTGTGACCTTTGACAGTACTAACTAGGATTGTTCGCGTTCAGAAAATAAACAATCCGAAACCGTCAGAATCATGCACAAGTCCACAGAACCCAAAAAAATCATACAGTTCTGTGAAACTGCGCATGCTTCTGACCGTTTCGGACGCAAGAATTCAGATGACCATGAATTACTAATAGGTGATTTCTAAGGATCAATCAGAAACAGCAAAGTAGCGCCTGCGTAGTTGTGATTCATCCTGATTGGACACAGCTGATTTTATTTGTGAGATTAGTGCATATAGTGAGGAAGTATCATTTCATTGAATTAAACTAATAGATGTTTTTTCCAAATTAGTTTTTTATGAAAATGGTAGTTCCATTTAAAGATATGATCCTTCCTCACTAATACATTAATCTCAATCACCTGTGCCCAATCAGGATGAATCGCAACCACGCAGGCACTACTTTGCTGTTTCTGATTGGTCCGTAAAAGTCGCCTATTAGTAATTCATGGTCATCTGAATTCTTGCTGGTAGCACACCATAAGAACAATCAAAACAAAGATCCTTTCTTGACAGTTTGTTGTTCTGAGAATGTATGTCATTTTGGAAAACGTCAAAACGTGATACTAGTAAATGTAAAGTTTTGTTTCTGACAATTTGCTTGGAATGTGACGATGCATTTCTCAAACATTGAGCTGAATGATATGGTTCTTATGTCGGGTCGTTATTGTGCGGGGCCCATGAGACTCCTCGAAGGACACGAAATTGTAGCGATGCGAGTAGGTGGAAGGAAGGGTTCTAAAGGATTTTTCAGTAAAAGAACTTCCAACCGTGAGGTGTTAAGTTATACGCTATTCGAGCTTATGTGTAGAAATCTTGGGTGAGTCCATTTTAAAGTTTTTGTATTATCTTTCTGAAATCCAAGACCAGGGTTAACTTCTTCCCCATGTACATTTTCTCGATTATACATTTTATTTAATATCTCCTAATTTTCATGTAGAGTGGCAACGTCGCTTCGTTCATCACGGTCGACTGCGGATCGCAAACGATAGTTGTGACAGAAGTAGAAATCTGGGCGGAAAAAGGTTATTTTGCCCCAAATCTATTTTGATCCTAATAATATTTTTAATAGTTCGGTAGTATACCTCAAGCTTTCTTAGTATTTAAAATATATGCACTTATTTTGAAATCAGCCTGTATGTAGAGTTTGCTCATATGCGAGAAAATGGCTTTTAGAGCACTTGGACTTGGAGACGTATTTTCGTCGTAGTTTCCACAAGTTCATCCTCTCCAATGTATTTAATTTTATTCATTTATTTGTTTTTGTATTCTGTGGGGTGATATGAGATGAACATTCGAGATTTATTATTTTGTATGATGGAAAGATAGTTGTTGTGTTTAGATATTTCTGCTGCAGGGTACCCTCATCCTCTATCTGGAGGTCTGGAAGAGAAATGCATTAACATTACTATAGGTAACTAACCTGGGGGGTGTTCTATTATAACTATATGGAATTTTGATTGAAGTAAATGTTGAGAGTTGATAAAGGTGAGTCCTTCTAAGTGATGTTGCGATGGATGACACGTCATCGACACTGGGATCGCCAAGATCCTGGTCGTTCTCCAGATCATACTGCACGGTGTTGCTTCAGTTTTCATCACAATTTACACACATCTTCGTGCAGCGGCACTGAACGACACAAGGCGAGGGAGGTTTTTAGTTTGTATGAATAGGCTGTAGGCCGCAAGAGTTTTCCTCCATATCAATTTTACAGGTGTCTTCATGAAGATGTCCTCTCACCCAGCCATAGTTGCACCTGCGAGCTGCCCCTTGTTGGAGAAAAAATGGCAATGTTTGATGTCGACTTGTAGGGAGATGTCTTGAACATCTTGAATCTCATATCAGACAATGACAAAAATTTCTTCAGCTTTCATGAGATCGCTCAAATCTGCTTCCGGCTCATACTTTCGGGTGGTCTTTTATATTAAGAAGCTTGTTGAGTATCTTTAGGGCTTTTGATTTTCCTAGGCCTGAATAAGGCAGTTACAATATTCGCGAAGAATATGTGCTCAATCGTGATGATCGAGGGTGTTGCTTGGATGGTTCAGCTTGTTGGGTACTTTCCATATTTCTGGTTCAAAAAAATATACGTCGAACGGAGCCTGTAACCAACTAAGAGGACTAGAAGGTCGACATCCTCGCCTACGACAATTAGCCTCTCTTTACCTTGTGCCAATAAAATGGTTGTTGTAACTATAGTCAGTCCGTGTGCTTTGCATGTTACCATACTGCAACCTTCCATTTTTTTCCTGAGCAGAATGATAAGACGGCTTTTGTTATGGTTATTTGGAAGGAAGCATTCTTAGACGACTGTTGGAGACATAGCTGCAGAGAGGGACACTTTCACAGCAAATTTCACATGGCAGAGCTCTCATACACATCAGGCAGTAAAGTTCGTTTCTTCCAGAAGTGTAGATTATGAATTATCTGCGAAAACCCAGGAAGAATACTATTTTTTGTAAAGCACGTAAATCTGGTCTATTTTTAACTTGCTCTAGCTCCTCGCCCGTTAGTCCTATATTTATGAGCAAGAGGAATGTCATCTTTTTCAACTTTCTATTGAATGGTCTTTTCGATGAATTTTATAGTTTCCGAGTTATGGTTCACAATGGAAGCCAAAATACCAAATGAAATAATCTCATAATTTACCGCTCGTTATACCGGATGTACCTACATATAAGGTATTTTTTGTCAACTTCGAATATAAAACTCGATTCTACCACATAGTAATTGAAATGAAATACTTTGAATTCATAAATGAATAATTTCATAATTTAGCGTTCATTGTACGTCAACTTTGAATATAAAACTCAATTCTGCCACCTAGTAAATAAAATAAAATACTTGTTATTCATTACAGTTGGAGCCTCTTGTTCGCCACTGGATACAACTTTCTGGACCCGGCTGGTCAAACAATGCACAGGTAATAGCGAAATCATGGCTAAAAGAAGGCCTTAAACCAAGATGTATAACAAGAGATCTGAAATGGGGCGTTCCAGTACCACTAGATGGCTTCAGAAATAAAGTGTTCTATGTCTGGTTTGATGCCCCGATTGGATATTTGTCCATCAGCAAAGCATACACGAAAGACTTTGAAAAATGGTGGATACCGTCCCAAGAGACTCAGGTTACCCTTTATCAGTTCATGGCCAAAGATAATGTACCATTCCACTCAGTTTTGTTCCCTGCCATGTTACTGGGAGCGAATAAGGGGTATACTACTGTGTCACATTTGATGGCCACGGAATATTTGAATTACGAAGACGGTAAATTCTCGAAGTCGCGAGGGGTGGGTGTTTTCGGTACTGATGCGCAAAGTACGGGTATCCCTTCAGACGTCTGGAGATTTTATTTACTTTACGTTAGACCGGAAACTCAGGATTCGAGCTTCAGTTGGAACGATCTCGTCACCAAAAATAACTCCGAGCTTTTAAACAATCTTGGAAATTTCATTAATAGGTGACAAATCAAATATAGTTGACGAATATTGAAATCATTGTAGCAAAATGATATTTTAGGGCGTTGATGTTTGCAAAGAATAATTTCAACAGATCAGTTCCCAAAATGGATCTCAATAATGACGATTATAACCTCCTAGCATTATGTACTAGAGAATATAAAAGTTATGTAGCTGCTGTAGGAAATGCCAAGTTGAGGGATGGTATTCGTCATATTCTTGCTATATCCAGACATGGGAACCAATATATGCAAGCTAATCAGCCTTGGGTGCTTCTCAAAGGATCAGATGAAGAAAAGTATGTTGGTAGTGCCTCTTTTTTTGTCTGACACAAATACAATTAATATAAATACAGGGTCCAGCGTGTTTACTTATTTCATGTGGTGGTGATCATATAAAGGTGACGCTGAAAAAGACGTGACTCCCAATTAAACTATATTTTCTTTAAATGATGAAATTGAAATAGTACATGAGTATTGATTAATATATGTATGTTTTCATCATCGATAATAAACCTCGGATTGCTGTTTTTTAAGTTTTTTTTAGGTCGAGGTGGTTGAAATCCTTTATGGACATCATATGGGTCTAATCCCCCATATTATAGTGTGGGAGTCCCCTGACTCTAGCCAGGGCATACCCACTAAACACTCCACCCCGTTTGTAGGCCCGTCTGACCGATGTCTCCGACGGCCTAGTGGCCCATTGTATCTTACCTAGTTTTTTGCGGTCCAGTGCCTCGCATCTACTCTGTCTACACAGTATATGTGATACTGTTTCTGGTTCGTTTCCGCATAGTCTGCAGCTTGGGTCGCCATTGTACAGTCCCATTCTGGTCGGGTGCTCCTTTACTGGCGCATGGCCAGCCATGAGTCTCGTGACGTTTTTATCTGTACTCTGTTCAAGTTGAGCAGGTCTGAAGTTCGTTTATGACTTGGTGCCTTAATGTACTATTTCCCATGACTATTTCCTGGGATGTTTTCCCAGTAGCTCTTATGTTCTGCCTGCTCCTTTACTGGCGCATGGTCAGTCATGAGTCCCGTGACAGTTTTATCTGTACTCTGTTCAAGTTGAGCAGGTCTGGAGATAGTTTATGACTTGGTTCTTCAATGTACTGTTTCCCATATCTATTACCTGGAATGTTTTCCAAGGTTCTTATGTTTGCCTGCATCCAGTATCTAACGGACGTTTGTGCTGTACGTTTTGATACTATAAAAATCTGATCCTAAGTTCTCAGTTCCCTCTTGCAATCCCATGCCAGTCGAGACGCCACTTCCTGTATTTCAATTGCCTTGAGTGCCGTTTGACTGTCCGACATAATGTGCTCATTTTCTACGAGACTGAGACATACTTCCCCAATGAGTAGCTGAGGCTGTGTCCGGGTGCTTGAAGTATACCCCTGCTCCTGAACCATTTGCAGTCTTGGACTCGTCTGTATACCAGATCTTTCCCTGCAATATGGTGTGAGGTTCTTCATCAGTCCATACAGTTCTGTCTGGTATAGACACTCTGAATGAAGTATCAAATATGTAACGTTTCGGAATGTGCTCTGGTCATATATTAAGTATGTCCTTGGTCACTATTCTGACGATGCTCATATGTCCTGTTCCTATGTTGACATTGCCCAGTGTATTTTGCAGTCTGAAGGCTCCTGAACCATTTGCAGTCTTGGACTCGTCTGTATACCAGATCTTTCCCTGCAATACGGTGTGAAGTTCTTCATCATTCCATTCAGTTCTGTCTGGTATAGACACTTTGAATGAAGTATCAAATATGTAATGTTTCGGAATGTGCTCTGTTCTCATATTGTGTATGTCCTTGGTCACTATTCTGACGATGCTCATATGTCCTGTTCCTATGTTTACATTTCCCAGTGTATTTTGCAGTCTGAAGGCACCAAGCCTCGCCTCTTCCTGTACCATCAAGTGGAGGGGAGGCAGATCCAGTAGTGTTACCGTAGCTGTGGTTGGCGTTTACCTCTTAACCCTCGTGATTGCTAGACATGCAAGTCTTTGTACCTTGCTCAGTCTTGTTATGGATCCTCTTTGTAATGTCTTGGGCCACCATACCAGTAAGGCATATGTTATGGAAGGCAATACCAACCTGTTACAACCGGTACAACATGTGTGGTCTCAGTCCCCATTCCTTTCTAAAAGAGCGTCTGGTCATCATCAGTGACGTTTCCGATTTTTTGGCTGTCTTCCCCAGTTCTTGGTGCCAAGTCAATTTCGGGTGTAGCATCATCCCGAGATATTCGACCTCTTCTTTCAACATTATTGTTTCTCCTTCAAGTTTAAGAGGACCTACTCCCTCTAGATTTCGTCTTCGAGTGAATGCTATTATGGGGGCCTTGTGAGGGATACTATGTCGTCTGGGGTATCCAAGGGCTCTGTGTCCACTGTGATTCAGTACCCTCAGTTACTCGTCCATAACCAGATTCCACAGGAGTACTCCTCCCTGCGGGCATCCTCTGGTTGTCGTGGCCTATACGGTCTTCCATAACAGTAGTATAAAGCATTCTGTTTCTTAGCATTGAGTCTATCTAGGCCACACAGGGTTCCTCGATTCCTCTCAGTCTGGGACCTCTGATTATAGAGTTTATTGAGGCGTTATCAAAGGCTCCTTCTATGTCTAAGAAGGACGCTAATAGTACCTCTTCGTTATCCAGCGTATTTTCCACCCTCTCAACAAGGTTATGGAGTGCTGTTTTTATCGAACAGCCGGCGGTCCTGTAGGCATTCTGGTCTTGTGTCACTTATTGGAGTTCAATTTACTTTGAGCATCGCCTAGGAGTCAAGATGGAACCCATCACAATTTCACAAATTTTTTGCAATTTTTCCACGTACTTCAATATAAAGCATCATAAACAATATTCCTCAAATTCACACCCGCCACTTTTTAGGTTACGTGCAGGTACAATAATTGGAGTTTGTTGTAACTTGGCTTGTCTCCTAGCAACACTGCTTCAACCCTACATGCCTGATACTAGTGAAAGCCTCAGACAGCAATTGAATACTTCTAATGTTGTTATTACTCCAGAGTAAGAACTTTTTGAATGTCAAATAATATAATTATTGTCAATTTTGTACTTGATCATAATCAAATGTTTTCATTCTAGCAACATAGAAATTGTAACTATGCTTCCAGCTGGTCACCAATTGGGCGATCCATCGCCACTGTTTGCTAAAATTGATCCGGCTCAAGCAGAAGAACTAAAGAAGAAGTTTGCTGGATCGCAAAATGATAGAATTGGGGATAATGTTGATTTGAGAAACATTGAGGATCAAATTGCAAAACAGGTAAAAATTTTATATGAATTATGATTGAAGTCCTTTTCATGTGAGGAAGGCGAATAGACAGATACAGAAAATCTGTTTTTCAACCATACAAATAAATTTTTATATAATAATGTAGAGCTTTTGGAGTACCTACTATATAAAAAAACGGCAATCAGTCGGATCACTCAAACCGAAACTCACTGTATTTATTGGCGATCCCCATAAACGAATCATGGCGGTCAATTTGAATCGCTGTTATTGACAGGTTTGTCATAACATATATATCTTATATAACTTATCTTAACGTACGGACTTTCTGGTAGGTATCTAGGGAATATTTAGATAAAATGATGAATGAATTGTCTTTTGTTTGATTAATCACTTGGCTCAAGCGTAAGGCATCAGCACTGAAAGTTTAATGGTTATCTTAGGGGTAGAAGTCCATGTTTTCTGAAAGTGGATTGAATTAATTTTGGAAATCTCAGTCACAACATTAATTAAATATCACCAAAGAAGGAATTAATTTGCCGTTAAAAGTCGATGTTCTCTGTTGTTCACGTATTGAGGATATTCAAACCTTGTTCTGATCTGATTTTTATCGGAAATACATAATCCTTAATAATTCGGTTCATAAAATTTCGTTTTAGGGTGACAAGGTTAGGGCTCTGAAATCGAGTGGTGCAAATAAATCCCTGTGGCAACCTGAAGTTGCTATATTATTGGAATTGAAGAAAAAATTGGAAGCGGCTCAAAAATCCAAATCGGTTAATAGCGCCTGTGTACCTGACCAGCAGTTGAATGGCCTTGCAAGCACTGAGGAAATTAAAAAACTAGAAGAAGAAGTAGCTCAACAGGTGAGTCAAGAGTCATTTATTGAACCATCACACATAACTTAATATATTATTACATACACTACGCGATTTCTCAAGATGCTTCGTGAAGGTTCCGCTTTAGGGTTTATCGCTCATATGTCGGAAACGGTTTAATTATTTACAACTTTCTTTCCATACACTGTTTTCGAATCTTCAACCGTTTTTGAGCTAAACGTTCCCTGATATTTCATCATCATTGTTTCATATTGTCTAAACGATTCGTGTCAGAGAGAAATTCCTTAAAAAAAGTTGCAGAGAATTGTATTTTCTTCGTGAATATGGTGACCTAGGTAATCTATCGAAGAGGCTCACGTTATGTTTCACCGAAAAAAAAAAAAAAAAAAAAAAAAAAAAAAAAAAAAAAGGAAATGCGGAAGTTGAATGCCGCGATGAGGCATTGTCGCTGACCTTATCAGAAATTCCACAGGGTGATCACTGAAAGCATGATAAATCACGAACATGTTTGTTTTCCATATCGTCCTCAAAATTTCCTACATTCCCAGACATCGTGCTGACAATACCCTGACAAGAACAAATCAAAACAATGACATTGTCCAACCAAGAGATACATTAACATGGATTTGAACCACAGAAATCATGTTTAGGCCCTTTCTTTTGTGGCACATTCGTACACTTCATGTATTTTACACCAAATTTGAGCATTCTGTTGAAAAGTGCATTTGACACCAATGTTCAAATTGCATTTCTCCTCTTCAATTCAATTTTATTCGATCGTTTGAAAGTCGTTGGTGTAGCTGCACGTGCATTTTACCACTGAAAAGCAGAAGAAAGAACCTTTTGGGAGTTTGACTGTGTTGATCATTCAATACTACTAAATTAATTAGAATTCTATGGAATACGAGGGACGGTCAAAAATTGGTTTGAAACTTATTTGCATGATAGGTAAATGTTGGTGAGAATAGAACAGAAGGATCATAACAACGTCGAGTATCATCAGTCAGAAAAGGGCCACATAAAGAGTGGTGTGCCTCAGGGTTCTATCCTCGGACCAACATTGTTTCTCATCTACATTAATGACATAGTCTCTAACTTTCCCGAAATAGCTTTCTCTATTTCTGCTGATTACACTAGCATTATCATCCGTCGCCATTCAGTTGATGACCTTACTTACCTCAAAATCACAAAGTGCGATGGACGCTATAGCAGACAGGCTTTCAGCAAATAAGTTATCATTGAATATATCTAAGACTCAACAGATACTGTTCAACCCTTATAGAAATTTCCAACATGTTGATGTTATTCTCAACGATGAAACAATTTCCTCGAACGAATCCACAAAATTCTTAGGGATAACTATCGACATGAAACTAAATTAGATGGAACACATAAAGCAGCTGAATAGCAAACTCAACAAAGCAACTTTTGCATTGCGAACTGTCCAAGCAAACACAAACTTTCAAGTTCCGAAAATGGTATATTTCGCATATATTCACTGCTTGATGCAATACGGAATAGAATTCTGGGGTAATTTCGTTGGTTCCCAAACCACGTTTATTATTAAAAAACGTGCCATCCGTACTTTGTTCAAATTGAACTATCGAGAATCTTGTAGAGAATATTTTCTTGAAAATAAGATATTCACCTTGACGAACACATTCACATTCAAACTTGCCTGTTTGGTTCATAAAAACGTGATGTTCTTCAACATTCAGATCATCGTCATCAATATATGACAAGAACCAATGAAATAAATCTGCCCAACTACAGGTATGAAAAAACTCGAAATGGACCACTGTACACGGGAATAAAAATGTATAACCATTTGCCTCCTTACATGAAGGAACTTTCAATAAGAAAATTCAAACAATCACTGAAGGATTTATTACACCACCATGTATGTTATGATTTAAATGAATTTTTCTCTATACCGCTCCCTATCTAATTAAAAGAATACTCATCCTTTAGTTTTAAGTATTTTTAAGTATTACGATATAATGTCCAACAACATCAAAATCAGTAGAAGTAGTGAAATACGATGAAGTTTCCAAATTTATAGAGCTTAGACTTTTTTTTTTCATAATGAAATAATTTTGTAGAATGACACTGATCTTTCCTTATGCCATTGGCTAAATGTGCACCTGTTCTGTATATATTGCAAATAAATGTACTTACTTACTTACTTACTTACTTACTTACTTACTTACTTACTTACTTACTTACTTACTTACTTACTTACTTACTTACTTACTTTTATATCATACGACTAGAACGCGCGATCCTATGGTTTCATATCAAATTTCTGAACAATACATGGGCATGGTATGATAATACAGGAGAGGAGAGAAACTACTGAGACGTAGGTCATACATTTTCATCGGTTTGTTGTTTTATAGCTCTATTAGCTGCCACTCGTGGCTGCTTTTCATTGAATTTATTTCCGAGAAGTCAAAAATATTTTTAGATCTAATATAAATATAAAACTTGATTATTGTGATGAAGTGATAATATGTTTAAGACTGTATAACTCTTTGTTGAACATGAGGTCGAAGAAAAAGTACTATTCTCACTAACGGTAATACATTTTTCATTAGAAATCCTTTTATGTTTTTCAAACGAGAAAGCTCAACGTCCTATATAGGCGACTGAGATTAAGATCGTAGCGCCAGAACGGCGAATGTCGGTACTACTCTATGGACCATTGGCGGATTGTTTACATTGTTTGGTAATGGTGTTTATGTTCATTTCGTCTTGAGTTTTCGAACGTTTAGCTTTGTTATTTGTCAATTTTCGAACTTTGTATTTTCCAGCGGTCTTTTGTGTTTTGATTGTGGACTAAATTATCTCTGTTCAACATTAGATAACTTCCCTACCTCTAGTTTTTATCATTATTGAACAAGAATTCTCATGAAAACCTGTGTGGGATGTTGATTTCCAATTCGAATATATGGCTGGGATATTCCCCTGATAGTATGATATTTAAAAAGAAAATCCAGCATATTTTTTGGGAATAAAATGTTCTTTCGAAGGTGAATTTAGGTATACAGTTTCTACTTGACTTTTTACAACATAATCATCAAAACCCTGTTTGATAAAATTCTTTACTGTTTAAAAATTCTACGTTTCATGAGTAAAAATATAATCAGTTTAAAATTTGTTTGTTTTTTTAACATGACCTCAAGAAGCAGGTATCATATTCATATTAGACATACATTTGAAAATATATGAGTACATTTTCAGTGAAGTGTAAAAAACAATATCTCATTATGTTCAGACACTTTTTCCAATCTTCAAGTTATGAATCCATACCTTTCTCCTACCGATCACTTCCTTGTTTCCCAAATTATTAGTTTCAAATACAAATTTAGACTGTCCTGATTTTTGAAAGGAAAGAAAGCTGTAGGTACTCGGGATTTTTTTGCTCAAGATGAACAATCAGGTACACAACAATAATGACTCATGTTTTTAAACGTTTATAGAAGTTCTCAAAGAAAATTATAGACAATTAATACACAACTAGTTCTCATACAAAATACACGCAAACTAATGTAAACAAAGCAATCAATGGCCCATACGTTAGTTATATTAGACAACGGTAGAGGGCGTACTCCTTAGCATGAATCGCCTATAGCGTTTGATTTCGGCGCCGTCTGAAGCACCGGACCCTCAAGCGTCATACTTTTTATGTCAAATAACTTGCTAACTTGATACGTCATGCTTCAAAACCATATGGTATATGTTATACTTGATACGTCATGTGTTGAACCCATATGCCATAAGTCCTATGTCATGTGTCATGCGTCAGCGTCATTTGTCATACGACATGTGTCAAATGCCATTCGTTATACGTCGTCATCTGTCATTTGTCATTGGAGGAGTGGGGGAAAGGGGAGAGGCCTAAGTCTCGTGGTAGGTGGAGGGGAGGGGATGGTCTGAAGTACGGGCATAACTATTGAGCAAGTCAAATTTATTCAGTCAGAAAATCTTATAGATCAGTAGATGAACTTACGTATGTATCATGGAATTCGTCCACTCGTGAGATTTCTATAGCAAAGATTTGTGCATCTAGTTAAAATTATCATAAATTACCACCACTTATGTAATTACTGTTGATAATTTGTGATCAATTTACGCTATAAAATAATTTTTGGATTTCTCTTCTAGGCTGATAAAGTGAGGGCTTTAAAATCAAGTGGTGGAAATAAATCTGTATGGCAACCTGAGGTCACCATCTTATTGAATTTGAAGAAAAAACTGGAAGCAGCGCAAAAGTCTGGGCCTGCTCACAACACAGTTGTTCCTGCACATCATCCAATATCCAATGATACAGCAAATCCAGATGAGATCAAAAAATTAGAAGAAGAAGTAACCAAACAAGTAGGTTACTATATTCCATATTTTTTTCACTATTTCTTCAACTCAAATACCATTTTTCTTATTCATATGCACGGTGCTCGAAATGCCATTTTTCTTATTCATATGCACGGTGCTCGAATATGTGTTGAACACACAGGTATTGTGAGTACTTTTTTGTAGAAATCTTCAATTGAAACCTTTGTGAAAGACTCGTGCCTCTACCTTATTTCTTACATTTTCTGATGATATACAAGGTGAGCCAAAAAAGTCATCGGATGTTGGTTGGCTCTCATTTTTTTTCTAAATGAAAAACTCCGATTCTGTTTTTTGATTAATGTTCACAGGTTTAACAAGTATGTAAAGGTTCAAATAACCATAATCCAAAAACAGAATCGAAAATTTTCAATTAGAAAAAAAATGAGAGCCAAACAACATCGGATGACTTCTTTTGGCCCAAATGTTACTTGAACGCCAAAAATATCAAACGTCACTCAGATGATGTTTTTTCTCGGTTTGGCGACTTCAAATTTTCGATCCAATTGAAAATCGTGTATTCGTTGGTATCTGCTTAGGGTTTCAACTAATTTACCTTTGTGGCGAGAAGTGGTAACAATTAAAAATTTTTGATCCAATTGGAATTTGTGTATTAGTTCGTATTTGCTTAGTGTTGTCAACACGAATTCAAAGATACTTTGATGGGGCTAAGTCAAACGAGTATCAAGATATTAGCGGAAGACTTGTCCATTTTCTACATCCGAAGATACATTTTCATTCCTTCAATGCCACCAATATCTTCATGGTGGTTTTCGAATTCGCGCGATATCTCTCTAAAGAGGCGTTTTTTACATGATTCATCAAATTTACTTTTTTACCCAGGCCAGTATAATAATACTTCTACTATCAGGACCTAATTTGTGAATGATCAATTCACAAATTTCGAGGCGGAATACATGGAGAATGACCTAGATGTGTTTTGTCTTATAAATCACCCTGTAACATATATACTACTACAACTTTGTTCATTTTATATTTCATTTATTGATTCATTGGGAGGGATTCATGGGGGCCAGGTTGTCGTGCGGACAGAGTGTCAATATTCTAATCCGCATTGCCGGTCGTGGGTTCGATTCCCGTCGACTGCAGACATTTTTCTGATGGCTCAAAAAAGTGTTTGGAATCACACGTTAAAAGGTAAGGCCCCCATCATTCCTTGCTCGCATAAGACTCGAAGACTTCTGAGGGTTGCTCGTAAGGTGGCAACCGAATGACGGATTGAACAATTTTAGAACAAAACAATTTTAGAACAATTTATTATTCATTTAGTTATTTATTTTATTTATATATTCAGAACGAACCTAAAAGCAGTATTCAGCAGATTGTTGAATTGTTACATAGGGCATGTGAATGGCTACATGATTGGGCTATGCCAGTCATCGCTGGATAATCGGAACAATTAAAATTAAATGTATTATGCCCCCCAACTGTCTAACCAGGTCTAACGGTGAGCGTTGATCTCCGTTGACTGCGATGTTGCCAAATGCCATCCTCTCTTAATTCTCCTATATGTCAAGATTCGATAAACAATATGTATAACATAATAATGAATATTATTAATCTAAGAAATTTATTGGGGAACCTATATCAAATTTCGAAAAAGATAAGCAGATAAGTGAATGCATTAACGAATTTTTCGTAAATATTTGATCAAACCTTGAGAACAAGACACCGCAGGACAAGCTGGATTGGGAGAATGAGGTCTTCTCAAGGACACAATTCGTATTTACACCTTGTTCTCAGGGAGAAATTATTGATAAAATTGATTAATTAGACAGCAACAAAGCCAGTGGTAATGATGACATTGATATAAAGACTGTCAAGTTGTGTAAAAAAGAGCTAAGTGCAGTGTTGGTGAAGAATATAAATCTTTCATGACTGGAATCATGCCAGATAAAATTAAAGTAGCAAGAGTGCTTTCCTTGTATAAGAGGGGAGCTAAGGTTACATCTAGTAACTATAGACCCAAGTGTAACATGGTACCCAACCTATGAATATATCCTGAGACCCTTAAAGACTCTGCAAAATGTATCAATAAAATACATATTTTCACTACCAAGGAGATATCCAACAAACGAACTATATAAAAAATACCAATTGATGACCCTCTGTAGTATTTATGAATATCAATGTTAGCTACAGGATTATAGAGTGCGGTGTTCCTCAAGGAACGGTATTGGGTACAATTCTTTTCTCTATTTTTTTTATCGCTTGGAGCGCACTAAAGGGAATCCCTATAATGTTCAAAGAACATCGTGCGTTCCTAGGGAGGATAGGATATATTTTCATTAGAATTGCAAGGGAAAGTGATAAGTTTTGCAGATGATACTGTGGTAGTCTACAAAAGCAGAAGTTGGGATCAAGTAATAAATTATGCTGAAAAAGATATAGTAAATTGAACAAATCTCAATAAAGAATGGCTTGAAAATATCCTCAGCAACTAAAGTTAAATATCTTGGATTAATCTTAGATAGCCACCTCAGATGGGACTTACATATAGACTACATTTTACGAAAACTGAGATTTGTGTTATATAAATATCGACAGCTGACTGACATACTCTACATGAAGCAAAAAAAAATATACCACAGCTTAGTTCAGAGTCACATCACATACGGAGTTCTGGGATGGGGAAGTGTATCAAAAACTCATTTGCGTCCTCTCGAAGTGATTCAGAAGCGCTTCCTAAAATTGATGCTGTCCAAAAATAAAAGATACCCGAGCGAGCTTCTTCATCAAGAATCGGAAATACTAGACATTCGATAGCTGACTTTCAAAATCATCAATATTCGACAACATCAGAATAAAAATAACTTGGTACAACTCAGTCGTGAATATAATACAAGACAACAACATACATTTTTGTGTCTTACATTCAAAGCAATAGGACAGAAAAGAGTAATATGCTATTTAAAAAAAACTTGCTCATTACTTAAAGAATACCTCCCGTGCACTTATACGTTTCCTATTCGATTAAGTTTCAATAGTGATTATCCCTTTGTGTGCATCATTCTAGGAAAGTGACATATTATATGAGTACCTATATACATGTGTTGCAGAAACAATTCAATCAATCTCAATTCGAATATATGTTCAACTATAATTTCAATTATCATGTACATTACTTTATATAAATTTTAATATCGTATATCTATATTTTAACATTTTGATATCATTCTTAAGGATACTTGAATTTTGAGTTTGAATACGTTTTATATTTTCATGTTTCTTCGTCCTCTGCGAGTATACAGTTTGTTGTTCACTATTTTTAAATTAATGTATGTATGAATTTGTTTTTTTTTGCTCACACACAAGCTGAGGCCTCTGTGAGTTTCCATGTTTAATTGTTAATTTCTTTTCTGATGCAACTTTGTGAATGTAGTCTTATTAGCAATTAAACGATTCTATTCTATTTCTAATTGCTCGTCAGGGGAGTGGATTTCTATATTGAACTACCAGAAGATCTGATGTTATTCGATCCCTCAAGGTTCAAAGTACAGTATAGTACTATTTAAAAGAATAATCAAGTGTACTAGCTAGAGAAATGAAGCAGATTATTATTCATCACAAGTTGATCTAGTCATGTGATATAATATCTATTTGAATGTTTAAATATGTATATTTTGTATTTTTTTCATTTTTATATATATATTTCTCATCTTCATGTCCTACTTTTTTGTAATTATTGTAATTTACTTAGTTATAGGATGTACCTAAATAGAATGCCTCATTCTCTTGGTGCGTAAATAAAGCGAAAAAAAAAATGGTATAAAAAATATCAAAGAAATACAAAAGATGTGCATGGTGTTAACAAGATTCATAGGTTTGAGGAAAAAATAATTTTAGTTTATTCACAAAATGAATCAATATCAATCAGATTTGATAATGAATTATAGTTTTTGAAGCAAATGATGATGAGAATTCAAATATTAATTTGTTTCGTCCTTTCTGTATGAGACATTAATGGCAACTTGTTGAAACAGAAATCTGATCATGTCGCCCATCTTTCCAAAAACGCCCCAATAAGATATTTTGGAAGATTATTGAACGTCAAAGTTTGTCTGAAACTTTAGTGAATCATTGATCAGAAGCATCAGAAGTTAATAGCCGAATTTTATATATTCTACGATTTTTTTAAATTTTGGTTTTGTTACAAGCAGGCATTGGAAAAATTTCCCAGTGCCCAGTGTCGTAGATTCAGGGGACATTCGCCAACAAAAATAATTCTGAATAGGCATTTCCGATATTTCATCGCTCTTTCTGATTACTAGACTTAATTGCTATAAAAAGGTGTACTTTGAATTTTGATAGGACGCATCGTTTTCGAGAAGAAATCAGAAAGGTCTCCAGCAGTTGCTTCTGTATTCTCATTCTTTTAATTTCATTTTTCATTTGTTATTACTGTTTTCATATATAGAAAAAATGTATTAATCTTCTGAATTTACTGTTGAATGTTTGTATTGAGATTATCTAACTCTAGTTTTTATTATAAGCTCACAATATTTCTATTTGAATTTCAATTTTTATCTAAAAATTAACTTCATGTTTAACTATTGTGAACATTATTCATTTTGCTAGCAACGGTAATGAAATCATGAAAACACGCAACAAAATAAGGTTATCTTATGATTTTTCAAATTCAATTGATAATTTTTCGATTTTTTCTTGTAAAGGGCGTGTCCTATTGAAATTTGATAAGTATGCTTTTTGTAGCAATTCAACTCGTCAAAACACATTATGTGTCACTAAAAGTAGATTTTTCAGTACAGATATACATGATTAGATCTAGAAAATAACTTAATCCATATCAGAAGAACATAGAGATAATCAGAATCATTAGGGTACTCTGTGGGAATATATAATGAGAAATCTATTTCGGTGATAAGACATTTTTTTTAAATTGAAAGTAGCTTCTTGATGACACTTAGGCATCAAAGGTGTACTTTTACTGCCGAGGCAGGAAAAGTACTGCCTAGGCAGAAAAATGTTGTTGCTGTGCAACGTTCTGAGTGATAATATGAATCAAATTGGTAATCAAAATTGATAATGACTTAGGGTGACACAAAATGATGGATTATTTGGACTTTGCATAAAATTGATAGGAATTTGGAGAAAATATAATATGTTTCATATGGCAGAAAAGCTGAAACAATAGATATTTTTTTCACTTGGCAGCAAAGTAGTAGTAGTAGCGAGGAATTCAGCCATGGCAGTCAATCTACTTTGCTGCCATGTCAAACATATAATTGTTTCTCCAAATGTTATAAAATCAATTCTGTGTAATTTCTTTATTGAAAACTCAATCATTTTGTGTTCACTCAGTATCAGTGTCATATATGATTACCAATTTCATTCAAATTACTTGAAACGTTGCACAGCATTTTCTGCCTAGGCAGAGAAAATACACTTTTGCTGCCTGTTAAGTATGATAGAAAAACCATTTCCTATGCCGTTTGAAGAAAAATAACTATTCCAGAGAAATATTGATTTGAACTGTCCGATAATCCTCCTAGGGAATGAATTATTGCCGGATATTTTTTTAGTACATGCAGTGTTTGAGAATTATCTCAAGTCGCGAAGCGACGAGGGATGGTTTTCTTTAAAAATTCATGTACGAGACAATTTTCCCTCAATTAATTCATACACGTGGTGGATTCGGTAAACAAATTTCATACCGGAATTATATTTAGAAATGAAACATTAGGTTCTAAAAAAAATAATTGGATTGGATAAATAGCTTATTTTCCTCAGGGTTTGGTGGTGAGAAAACTCAAGGAAGGAGGAGCTGCCAAATCCGAATGGCAACCTGAAGTAAACAAACTTCTATCTCTGAAGAAGCATTTGGCTGACCTGTCTGGAACGACCTCTGTGGAAACTCAAAAAAGTAAAAAAGGAAAAAAATAAGTCGAATGAATGATATAGGGAGTGTAAGATTTAGTAATTTATTTAGGGGAGGTGTAAGGTATGAATTTTTATAAGTATGTGAGTTATAGTACACAATTCAAATACCCTAACATGTATTCATGGGCTACAGATAATATTCAGAATATAACCTCAAAAGCAATTGATGAAAAGTTATTTCAATGAAATTGTTCAATTTTTATAAATTAATGATCTATCCAAATTCATATAAACTTAACGTTTTTTTTTTTTAAATATTAGTATTTATGCAAGTTAAAAACTGGAAATGTTATTCTGAATGTAAATGGTGGTTGATTTTGAAAAGGTAAAAGCCATACAATTTCAACTTTCTAGTGGATTTTTATCGATTCTAATTAACAGAAATATTTATCTCTTGTTAGAATATTTATTTGTTTTTTGTTTTTGAAGGTTATATTTAACCGCAAATAAATTAAATGTAAATTATTCGATCTCTAATTTATTTTTCAACAACTTTTTCCTTCCTAACTGGTACTACAAGTAAACCACTCTGCAGATCTATATCTAGATCTCTTGGTTATGGGATCTAGTTCAATGAATATGATTGGTGGATAAATCCACACAAGTAGTCAGGTTATGGACGTAGGGGTCTGTACGTGTGACTATAGATGGCAGCGTCATACAGTGTGTGTCGCGATCTTCATGGTCCTACCTTAGAATTATGCCACTGGATGGCGATAACATGACTACATCAATACAAGACAGTGGCGACAATAGGCGTATAAGCTCCGCTCATCCGCCATTAGGAGGCAAATTATTGCGCGAAAATTTGAATCACTTGCCTCTTCAGTGGGTTCTTATTTACACTTTTACTCTCAATTTACCATCGATTCATTCTTATTTTTGAATATTTATTAGTATTTTCCCAACAGATATATTTCAGTAGTTTTTGTGGTTGATATCACCATCACCAGGTTAGTATAAAGTTATTGTTTGTTAGTCGATAGTATCAATGGATACTTTCATTATTGTTGTATTCAATATATGGTCCGGATTTCATTAAAATTATTGAAATGTCCGATTGACACTTTGAAAAATCTTCATTCCCTTTTTTTGTCATTCATGAAGAAATGAAAAAAAATCATAAAAAAACACGATAGTATGTTTAAGAAATTAGTAAGTATACATTAATTATATTGTACAACACAAATAGGTAAAATATAGAAATTAATAGGCACACCAAGGAGATCTTGAGGTAGGTACACTTGTCACAATTTCTGATTCAGATTTTATCAGCAATTTTCTCTTGAAAGGAGCTTTTCGTTTGGTATGAGGCTTTGTGAAATAAAATATAGTCGTTATAGGATCAGCTTTCAGTCTACGGCTTCCATCTTTTCTGATTTTCCTTTTATTCCAGTATTTACCAAAATATGTAAATCACTATTTATAAGAAAAAACAATAGAAGTCTCAAAGTCTGTCGACCACGAAAAAATATTTAATAATAGTAGATAGTAGTGTGTAACTAGTTTCGGCCACAGGACTGATAATTTGATTTCTCGACCTTGGCTTTTTGATAATGTTGAAATATGTTTGCTTCTGATATGTATCACTGAGGTTAGTATACCAACTCTTCGGCTCTCTTTTTGACTCCTTAACCATGTTAGGTACTTTGAATACATCAATTTTGTGTCTGATGATGGCCTGTGGCCGAAACTAGTTACACACTACTATTATTAAATATTTTTTCGTGGTCGACAGACTTTGAGACTTTTATTGTTTTTTCTTATAAAAATCAATTGGACCACTTTGAGAAATATGGATGGTTTCCATGATTTCACTATTATTATTTTGGTTACCCATTCCTCCCTGCAATTTTGACCTTCAAGAAATTTATAGGCACTTGACTGAGACCTTCAATAAGATCTTGCTCTTGATTTTATCAGCAATTTCCTTTTGGTATGAGATTTTCGTTTGGTATGAGGCTTTGTGAAAGATAATATAGTTGGTTTAGCATCACAGCTTTTCAGTCTACGGCTTCCATCGCATCTGATTTATTCTCACATATATTAGGTACGAAATGTGTCTGAAAAAAAGCTTTTATATCCAAGTATTTGTGAAAATTCCTATATTTATGTCTATATTTTCAACAGAATGAATGATTACAATACATACGTCACAGAGAACTGATGAATTTGTAGGGTCCCATCTGCCTTCGTTTTGATTGTCCATTCTTTTCTGCAATTTTTGTATTTTGGGAATTCTTTCATCAGAAAACCTTTTTTAGCCAAATTAACACAGCTCACAGCTGCACACCTATGCATTTTGTATTATAACTGAAACGAATACTGCAAGATAAAACTTGGTATGAACAAACAGAAATGTTGTACCAAGACAAATATGGGTACATACCGCTCGATTTTTTTAAGAAAGCACTACTAGTGGGTATTATACGTTTTATTTGATGAAGAAAATGCAAAAATTTTGAAAAACAAAAGTGAACTAGAAGAATGAATTGCTATATCAACGCAAAAACCATATTAATCCAATGTAAACATACAGCAAATTTGCCTCCTAATGGCGTCTGCAGTCAATCAAATCTTTGTCGCCACTGTCTTGTATAGAGTCACTGTATGTTTGTACATGTAATACTCTGCGTCATAATTAGCTGTTCTTGTTCTTGAAAGCAAATTATGAAGATTGTCATCTAGACCTAGATTGACAAATTGTGTAGGACAAAGAAATAAAAAAGAAAAAACAGTCACATAGAAATACTCCAGCGCATCAGATATTGATAGTGTATGCGCTCCACGTGTTCCTGATAACCGAAAATTATTAATCTGCCGGTTTGCATGGTGGGGGTGGACGTACGAAGGGATAGAGAATTGGTAAAAAAAATTATTCGAGCGCGTCAGACATTGAGTAGGGACGTTAAGTGAACCCTCAAGTAGCTCCCATTCGAAAGACTGACAATTTGGACGCGACCAAAAGTCATGATCATATTTTGAAAATGAAAAAAAAAATCGTGACCTTGAAACACTCGAGCGCGTCAGATTATTATACAGACGCTTCATCTTAATGTCCTTGTCCTATCCACCCATAATCTGACAATTATGTAGAGGAATTACCTTAATATGACGGTTGGTTTTTTTTGTCAACTGAAAGTAATAACTAAAATATAAAATATACAGGGTGGGTCAGTTTTTTGTAGCAGGACTTCAACAGCTCGAAGAATTCAAAATTTTTTAGACATACAGGGTGGACCAATAGTGTGTGACAAAGTGAGATAACGGCTTTGCTGTTTGAGATAGATGAACAAAAATTCTTGCGATGGTCTAGTCTCATGAGTATATAGTACATTTCTGAAATATTTTGCGTTATACAGGGTTACTCAAAAATGCGTGGCGTATCAAAGTTATACTTTTTTTATAGCACACCTGTATTTCATTGCATTTTCAGATTCCTCCTTATGAGCAGATTGATAACAATTGTTAGAAACTGGATATTACACCGCACCACTCTATACATCGATACCTTCTGATTCTATTAGTAAGACATGACTCAGATGGTTACGTTACATAATGAATAAGAGGACAGTTGGAGAATATAGATTATTAATCGTTTATCTTTTGTAGAGCACATCACATCGTGAATATAAAGTGTTAAAATTTGAATAGTGTTTCAATATCCATAGTCCAATACAATATACGAAGTGATACTTTTTTCTTAGTTTCCTACATTACCACAATTACATACATAGTTCCCAGTGGCTGCAATCACCACACCTAATTATTGATGATTCTCGATACTTCGGCTAGTGCAAATCGGAAGATTATGTCATTTCCGTGATCCGTGACTAATTGCTTTCAAAATAAGAAAAAAATTATCCGCGCCCGAGAATCTACAGGTGACGATTTTTTTTGTAACTTTGTGACCCTCCCATTTGATTATGTCACGCTCAAATCGTCAGATTATTGAAATGCACACTTTTCTGCATGTGATTAACGTACCATGTCTTAATCTCACGCGCTCGAGTCTTTCTGACGATCGATTTTTTTGGGCTAATCTGATCAGCTGCCCTGAACTTTCGACACCATATAAAGGGCCCCGGTATGGTGGGAGTACTTCACAAGTACTTATGTTAATCTGCCGCGCTCGAGTAAATCCCGAAATCCCCGCTTGGGCTTCCCTGCTATAACATCCTCATACCAAATATACATCGCAAAAAGACTTACAAACAAATGAACTACATAACAAAAAAACAATATTAGCAACAAATATACTATACCCCAGCAAACACAGTTACATCACAGAGATATCGCAGGTATGTAACAATAATTGTGACCTGCGATATTGCATTCTATGTGACTGGTTGGGGGTCCCTCGGGTCTCCTGTCCATTCAATCGCCTTTTCAGCGGCGCTATCCTTGGTTCCTACGAATCTCTATTCGAATGAGATCAGTTACTTATTGTATTTTTATAAAAAATTATGTAGTACCCAGACAGCACTGGATATTCCTAGAATATTCTCTAAATATGCTAAATGGGAAGAATATATTCCGAATATCCTTCGAATATTCTCAGAATATATACGTGCCTCTGGAACATTCAAGGAATATTCAAATGTGAATATTCTAGTAATATTCCATAATGAATATACAGGGAATATTCCAGAAGGAATAATCTGAAGTGAATATTCCTAGAATATTCTAGTTGGATAGTGCAGGGAATATTCAGGTATGAATATTCCAGGAATATTCCCAATTGAATATTCTGTTCCTGGATATTCATGGAATATTTCAATAATATTCCCATGTGTTTCAATGAAATTGTAAAGTATGAAAATTAACCAATCACAATTTTATAGATGTGAGTATTAAACATTGATTTTGAAATCTGTGGTAGAAGTCCATCGTATTTCAAAGTGAAGTGGTTATGTTACCAGGGATCAAAAACAAAAAGTTGTCTCCACAATTTTGATAGTGATCAAAGTACTCAATCAGATCATCGTACATGTCTAGAGCCCATATGGAACTGGAAGTGTTTATGGTCCCCTTCTGAACAACGCAATTCAATAAATTGTTATGTACATTATTATTCAACTCGATTACTGGCCAAGTGGTTAAGGCGTT